ATGGATGGATGGATGGATGGATGGATGGATGGATGGATGGATGGATGGATGGATGGATGGATGGAATGTGAGCAATCGTCCAATTGGTCCCTTTGTTCTCTTGGAGGCAATTTTGTGAAGAGGAAGTTCTGGATGAGATAGCAACTTATGCCATAGAGAGAGGTGGGAGCAGGAAATAGAGAGAGTTGAATCCTTCCAAAAAGATTCTCAAGAATGATAATAATTTAGAACATGCCAAGAATAGTTGTTATATTCTGTCAAGTGACTTCTGACTTGTGACAATCCTAGTACAGTTTTTAAGGTATGTCAAATGTTTGAAGAGGGGGTCTACCCTTGTGGCCCTAATTAATCTTTTTTTATCCAAGCCGTGATTTTAACCTCGGCCCTGTGAATCCGAGTCTGACACACTATCTGTCACACCACACACACAGAGAAAGAAAATTTAAAAATACAGGGTTTGTTAGTGGAATTGCATTGTTACTTCAGTTCCCCCAGATTTGGGAGACTTTGACACTTCCTATGAGGCAGTGAAGTATTGTCCTGAATGTCATTGGTTCAATTCAGAAAGCATAAATAGTTTGTCTTTTAAAGAGATTATTGTTTTGCGCCACTGCATTAATGGGAATGAATTATTTCTAAATTTGAGCCAGGGCTGGGCAGATTTCTGGCTCAGGGGCCATCGTGGTCCATACCAGCCCTGAGGGCATGAGGGGAAAGGCAAAATCAGAACTGGAAGCATTTATTTAATTGATTTTATTTAGAATGTCTCTATCCTGCCTTTCTCCTTAAAATCATTTTGGTTGCAGGTATGAAGAGGACAAGGAGAGGAAAGAACATGGGTAATGTTTGAGTCCTCTTTTTAATATATCTTGTGTGATGTTTGAGTCCTCTTTTTAATATATATTTCGTGACCCTGATATTGGTGTCATTTCCAGTTGTTCAACTGTGGGATTTTTGTTACCCAACCTCTGTTCCTTCCCGTGGGATCTGTGCTGAAGGCCATCCCATTACATTGCACTTCATACAATATTTTTCCAATCCAAATGTGTGGTTTTGCGATAGATATCAGATAGTAGCCCAGTCTCTAGCATTAGCTGCTGTCACAGCTTTCTTCTTCACTATGAGTCCTCTTTTTCCTTTTCTCTCTGCCAGAGTCGAGGTTTCTGCTCATCCTCCTGAAACTAGAAAAGGTAAGCAGACCTGTGATAATATCACCCTCGTTTTAACCATAAGATGTTTTTAATACAGATTGCTGCCCAGAATCCTATTCTGCAAATTGCCAGTGTAAGGGAGATGACATTACAGGCAGGAGAAGAGCGCCACTCATTAAAAAGTTTCTTCTTCAGTTCCGGAGCTCACACAACTCACATGCAATGAGACTGATTGCACATAAATCATGCCAGCATCCAGAATGGAAGGAGGATTCCTTTACTTTACCTTTGCTGGTGATGTCATCTGCCTTATGCTGACACAATTCACACAACAGGATTTTGACTATTGTTTACTGTTCCATACAGCTTCCTCTGATATTAATTCGTTTACAGACAAACACACAAGATTCTGATCAAATAAATGCTTTTTTATTGGAAAAAGGGAGAGACAGAAATCTTGCTATTGAATCTTTTAAACCCAGAAATGAAATGCTTTTTTTAAAAATGGAAAGCTATACATTCAACATCTAGAAGGTCATTTCAAGAAGCTATGGATCAGGCAGCGTCCCACATCTTAACTGTAAGGCAAACAGGGAAATGAGTAAAATAATTATTGTGCCCATGGTGTTGTATTCGGATATATTTACCTAAGAACAAATTGTTTTGGGGATTCGCAAAGATAGTTTTGCAAGATAGTCAAACGCTGCAGGAGTAGGATCTGTTCTTGATCATCCCGGAGTAGAGGATACATCATAATGGGCTCAAGTTCCAGGAAGCCAGATTTCGAGTGAATTAAATTAGCTGTTAGAGCAGTACGACAATGAAACCCATGACCTTGGGAGGCAATGAGCACTCCAGCACTGGAGGCATTCAAGAAAAAATTGGACAGCCATCTGTCAGACCTGCTTTGCTTTGGATTCTTGTATCGAGCAGAGGGTTGGATATGATGGCCCCGGAGACCCCCTTCCAACTCAATGATATTATGATTCTGCAGTAGGCAAACCTCCAGCTGTCCCTTGCCTTCCACAGCTCCATGAGAAGCCCCTGTCAGTCACAAAGAGATAACCTGGGCTCTGTGTTCTGCTCTTCTTCCTGAGCACATGGCCTGATTTCACCGCTCGGGGGCGGATCTTTCCGAGCAGTCGCGACACTTTCAAACATTAAATGTTTAAGCACCACTTTCTCCGTTGGCAGGAGAGCCCATTTCGCTGGCTCAAGTTGGGACAGAGGAATTTCTCCAGAAACTGACGTCTCAGATCACAGAAATGGTGTCTGCAAAGATAAGCCAAGGTAATATTAAAAACCCATTTAAACGGACCTTCAGGAAGCAGCCAGGATTGGGTGGATCAATTATGGGTTTTGGGCATGCATACAAGGTTGAACTGGGTTTGGGTCTCCTCCCTCCCTCTGGCCATTTTCAGTTTATCCAAAGTATATTGTTAGCCATGTTTTCAGGTTCTTGCTTAAAATTTTCAAAAGGCCAGCATGGAAAAATCTTAGAGTTGCCGATCAAGCAAGGGGTTGGTGGGAATAGACCTCATAGTAATTAATAATCTTATCTGATTTCAGGGTGAAGGTGATGATTAATTTAATAACTGCTGTTGTTTTTGCGAGCTTTATTGTATTATTCTGCCTTGTTCGGGACTATAAGAGGTTTAATTTCTTTTAGAGGCAGTTTAAGGCTTGGGGATTTTATTCTAGGTTTTGACAAGTCTGGTACAAACAAAGGGAATGAAAAATACACACAGTCTCCAGTTACAAGAGACACTTGGTTTCCAGTCTTAGCTTTTCACTAGAGATGGGTGCGAACCAGGAAAAAAAATGATGAATTCAGCTGGTTCGTGGTTTGGTTGATGACCCAGTTCATGGATCCTGTTGGGCATGGAACTAGTTGGGTTTTCCAGTTGGTTTGTGGGGGTTCATAGTTCGTGGCTAACCACGAAGCACGATGAGCCACTGTTTTCCATGCTCAATCTCTACTTTTAACCAACCAAAGCAATGGCTGTGTGTCTTCTCACCATTTATCCATCCTCCCCCTTTAGCCACCCTTCGGGTCCCTGGAGGCGACAGCGACGACGAATCCAAAACACCATCACCCTCCCCACGGCACGGCCGGTCCAGGCCTTCCTCAACTGCCCAAGAATCTTCTTCTGAATCAGATGAGGGGGATGCGAGGGGAGAGGTACATAACATGCATGTATAAATACACTTTATGCCAGCAGTCCCTAGGCAGAATAATTTCACCCTTCCTTCCGTCAATCGAAGATTCCACTGACTTTCAAAACATGACAAGGCCGGTACAACTTTGCATCTCAAAATAGTGTTGTGTTTGGCATGGACGGCTGTTGCCTTCATCAAGGGAGAAAGCAGAAATACAGTGGTGCCTCGCTTAGCGCTTGCTCTGTTGAGTGATGAAATCGCTTAGCGACGGGGTTTAAGCGATTGCAAAAGCGATTGCTTAGCGATGTTTCCTATGGGGAAAATTCGCTTTGTGATGATCACGGGGAAGCGATCATCACAAAGCGCCCATTTTTGGCCAGCAGATAGGCGGTTTCAAAATGGCCGCTGGAAAAACAAAATGGGCGCCCGCTGTGTTGCCTCTCTTTGAGTGGGTAAAGGCAGTGACCTAATGGGTCAACTAAACTAAACATCCTCAACAAACTCACAAAAGCAAGTAGGGTAGCTCACTATCATCTAAGTTCAGTCCGTCAGCCGCCAACAGCTGTGTAAAGTCCACTTTGTGCTTCCCCCCCCATCCTTCCATCAAAAGAGAATTCTGTTACCTTCTCTGCAAAAATCTGTGTGTCTTGGCCGATCTCTGTCCCTCTCCCTCTCCTCTAGAAAATATGCCAAATAACTTTTCTGCCTTCAGATTTTTGACATCTACATGGTCACGGCTGACTACACGCCGATGGGCGCCGACCGTGAAACCCTCACTTTGAAGGAAGGGCAATACGTGGAGGTCCTGGACTCTGCTCATCCTCTGAAATGGCTGGTTAGGACCAAACCCACCAAGTCCAGCCCATCCAGGCAAGGTTGGGTCCCTCCGGCCTATCTGGATAAAAGGTTAAAGGTGAGACTCATCCATGTTTTGGGGGGGTCGTACAAAGTGTTCCCTCTTGAAGACTGTTTAGTTGCTTTATATTACTTCTCTGGAGACCAAACTAAGTGGCACATTTAGCATGTATTTAGAAGAGGTGCTCCTTCAAGTAACAAAAAGCATCTGTTTATTATAACACGTTTATTGGTTATGATTTTTGGTAAGATTTCCTTTAATTAGACATCTTTCTTTTAGCCTAATTTGGTTTGTGATTGGTTGGAAGATAAGCAGAGGGTTTGATCCCTGAAAGAAGTCTTCTTATCATCTCTGATGATTTCCCAGTCTGGAAGGGAAAATGTGTTAACTGAAAGAAACATGCATTTCTTTTTAACACCAAGTTTGTTTCTATATTTGCACAACAAATTGCAGTTTACTGATACTGTGTGAATATCTTAATTTAAATCTGAAAGAGAATCTATAGTGCTGAAAGAGAATCCACTATATTGTGTCATGGCAAAGTTTCCTTGGTCAAAGAATGCATCCTATTTTTTGTAACCTTTTCATGAAGATGTGTAGTCATTGTTATCAAGGATCATAATGCACTTGATACATTCTTTTATCTTAATTTTCAGCCCCACAACCATTTCCAATAAAAATTCATATTTTTCACGCTGTGCTATTTCATACATTGAATGCCCCCAGCCGGAAGACTGCATTCAGAGCCAAAGTCCATAAAAGCTTTAGGACAGCATAGACCTTTATAGCTTCTGTTACCTAAGGTCTTATTTCTTTTATTTCAGCTCTCGCCGGAGTGGGGTGTTCCAGACGTTCCAGAGTTCTTAGGAGAGTCTCTCTCAGAAGATGAATATAAAAAGAAGCTGAGGTGAGTTTCATGGAAAAGCGATCCGTGTTGATTTTCCCCTTTTGGGACATGCAGGA